TTCCACGTTTCCACGTCGTTCCGCCGCGTCTGAACAGTTTCATAACCCCCGGGGGAGGGGAAGGATGGCAGGGCAGAGGACGGGACTTGACCGGGCAGGACAGGACAGGAGAAGAAAAGGGGAGAAGAAGATGGAAAACGATGGAAAGCGACAGGGCGAGAGACGCATGAATGCATCAGGCTATCAGGAGGAGGAGGTGGATACTCAAAGAGGAGAATACAAGAGAGAGAAAACTAGACGAATCAATGAGTTTGATCTAGCACGACTTGATTGTGATCAAATGCTATGAGCAATCCAGCGTGCAGAGGAAGGAGACTGAAGGGTAAGAGTGTAGGAGGAAGAAAGTGAAGAGGAGAACAGCAGAGAGAACGGCAGAGTCTTTGTTAGCTACGTCTCATCATCGCAGGAGATGAGTAGTCAACGTGCTGTATGTATCACGATGATGTGATGTATTGTGATGTATGTATGAGGTTGCTGTGTTAGCGCTCACTTTAGTTGTTACAGGTTCGTTCCTGCGCTAGACGTTTGGTCATGAGTGCACTCGTACGGCTAAAGAGGTGAGGGAAGAGAAGGAGGGAGGGAGGGAGGGAGGGAGGGACGGAGGCAGGGAGGGACGGAGGGACGGAGGGACGGAGGGACGGAGGGAGGAAGGAGGAGGAAGAGGGGGAGGCAGGCAGGCAGGCAGGCAGGGAGGGAGGAGGAGGAAGAGGGGGAGGTGAGCTTGTTGTCATGGCAGGGCCTTTATCCTCGTTCCTTCGCTTATCTTGGGATCTTCCTCTTGGAGCACGAGAAGCGTCTTCGGTGAGCTATCTCTGCTCTGCTCTGCTCTGCTCTGCACTGCTCTGCTCTGCTCTGCTCTGCTCTGCTCTCCCTCTTTCCCTCTGCTTCCCCACTCACGGTTCGCCACAGGCCCCTTTCGACGCGTTCAAGTGAGAGAGGAGTTGGCTGGTGCGGTGGAACAAAGTCTGTTAACTGCTTTCTTTCTCCCTCTTCAGCATGGTTTCTCCTCCTTCTCCTCCTCCTTTCCCTCCATGTCACTGCGTCCTGCAATCGGCGCTGGAAGTAGGAGGAGCGGTTTTCATGAGTATCTGAGACCCTGGGGACATACTGGAGGTCTGATCCCTTCATCCCCTGCTGCTTGCGGTGCTGGTGCTGCTGGTGCTGCTGGTGCTGCTGGTGCTGCTGCTGCTGCTCCTCCTCCTCCTCCTCCTCCTCCCCCTCCTCTTTCTCCTCTCGCCCCTGCTTTTGCCCCAGCTCCGCCCCAACTCTTCCTGCTTCTCTTCATTCTGCTGCTCCTGCTGCTGGTTCTTGTCGCTCTTTCCCCTAATCCGTTCATCGTCCAGTTTGTCCCTTCTCTTCTGCGTCGTCGACGTCAAGATCTGCTGGTGAAATGGTAATGAAACAGACTCTCCTTCCTATCTCCTCAACTACCACAACTACCATCTCCTTCCCCTCCCCATCGTCCTTCCCCTCCTCTCCCTCCTCATTGTTGTCTTCTTGTCTCTGTCCTTGTTTCCCTCCTCCTTGACCTCTTCGTCATCTTCTTGTTTGCGTTCTTCTCATCCCTTTTCTTCCCCTTTCCCTCCCTCCTACTCATGTTGACGTCACCGCAGAGCATGTGGGGGGAGGATGCGTCATTCGAGGCGACGGGGCTGGACCAGGACCTGATCAAGGCCGTGCGAGCATGTGGCTTTGAGCGGCCGACGAGGATCCAGGAGGAGGCGATCCCAGCGATCCTGAGAGGAAAGAACACAGTGATCGGAGCAGAGACGGGGAGCGGCAAGACTCTCGCCTACCTCCTTCCCGTCATGCAGAGGATGCTGAAACAGATGGCAGAGGAAGGGACAACGGACTTCGGACCCAACCCTCGCGCCCTCGTCCTCGTCCCCAACCAGGAGCTCGCGATGCAGGTGGCGCTGATGATGCAGAGGCTGAGCAGGACGCAGCTCGCGCGTGACTTCCCGTGTGTCGTAGTCGCTGGCTCCTCCGGCCTCCCCATCTTCTCCTCCTGCTCCATCCTCATCGCCACCCCTCCGCGCTGCTGCGGTACACAGAACCCGAGATGCTCGATCAGGTCAAGGCGCTGGTGGTGGACGAGGCAGACATGCTGATGCAGGGAGGGTTCGAGGATGACGTGAGGAAGATCCTCGACTATCTCTGCCCGAGGATCTCCAACACCAAGAGGAGGATGCTCGCAAAGCAGGGCCTGTCGGAGGAGGACTACGTCCCCCCCCGCCCTCCAGCGCAGGTGATCTTCGCTGCTGCCACCCTGCCGGACTGGAAGGGGGACAAAGTCAAGTCGATCGTTCGGACCCTCCGTCTCCTCTTTCCCGACGCGGTCCACATCAACACCATGGGGCTGCACCGCCAGTCGCTGGCGGTGGAGACGGAGTGGGTGGAGGTGGAGGACGAGGAGGAGTCCCTCCCGCTCCTGCTCGACGTGCTGGACAAGAGCAGGGGAGTGAAGACCATGGTCTTCTGCAACACCATCGCATCTGCCAAGGACACGCACGCGTTCCTCCTCGAGCATGGCTGGGAGGCCCATATGATCCACAAGGAAGTGCCTCCTGCTGTCAGGGCCGAGGCGCTCAACCTGCTGAGGGTCAAGAGCGACGCGCTCGTCGTGTGCACCGACATCGCAGCCAGAGGCATCGACGCCCCCAATGTCGGGCATGTGATCCAGCTGCAGGTACATGCTGCTGGTGGTGGTGCTCCTGCTCCTGCTCCTGCTCCTGCTGCTGCCTTTGCCTCTGCTCCTCCTCTTCCTCTCTCATCTTCATCCTCTCCTCTCCTACCTCACTTCTCCCTTCCTCGCTTCCTCCCCTCTGCACTCACCTTCCTGCTCTCCCCTTCTTCCCTTACTTCTCCCTCAGTTCGCTCCCAACGCTGTCACCTACCTGCATCGCATCGGTCGAACTGCACGCGCCGGTTCTCTCCATGGCAAGGCCACCAATTTCATCGACCCCTCGTCCCGCGATGTTGCTACAGCGATCAGGTCTTGACGTTGCTGCTGCCGCCTCCGCCGCCGCTGCCGCTGCACCTCCTCCCTTCTCCTCCTCTCCTCTTCCTATTTCTCTTTCCCGTTTTGCTTCTCTCCTCTCCCCTCCCCTTCTTGCCCACATCCTCTTCGTCTTTCTCTCACCCCTCCTACCTCTTGACGTCCTCCTCCTTTCTTGTCACCACTGGTGCTGCAGGAAGGAAGTGGAGGAGAGAAAGACTGTCGCTCCAGTCTTCAGCAGGAATCGAGGCTTCAGGAGGAGGTTGAAGAGGAGCCAAGCTGCGGAGGGAAGCAAGGAAGACGGCGAGGACAGCGGGGACAGCGAGGAGAGCAAGTAGGGACAAGGAGGAGTGGGAAGGAGGAAGCCGGGACACGCAGGAGGTTGGGAGAGAGCGAGGAGGATGACGAGGGTGAGAGGAGCTGAAGGCATGACGTTGCCCAGTGCTGTAGGATCCTAGAGCAGGACGGGCGGAGACAAGAGGCAAAGGTGGAGGAGGCAGAGACAGAGGAGGAGGCAGAAGCGGTGGCAGATGTGGAAGAGGAGGAAGACGGGTACTAGATGTTTCATTATTGTTTACACGTTATCAGCGAGAACGAATGACTGTACAAGAGAACACGAGGAGTCTCCTCCTCACAATAGCAACGACGTGGTGAAGCTAACGCTTCGCATCAGCGTCTTCCTCTCTCCCGAGCAGGGAGCTACCAGCCTGTTGGATCTGCAGATGGAAACCACGTGAGGGAGATGGAAGGGGCGGGAGCAGGGCAGGAGGCAGCGGAGGAGCAGGGCAGGGAGGTAGTGGGAAGAGCAGAAGGAAGAGGTTCAGTAGAGCAGGGAGAGAAGGAAGGGAAGGAAGGGGGGATGAGGGAGGGACCTGCGGATGTTGAGGTAGCTGTCAACAGAGACTGAGCAGCGCAACGAGTTTTTCTTCTCCTCCGCCAGGAACTTGCAACGGAGAGGTCGCCACAGAGACTGCAGGAGGTCGACATGCGCTCGCATTGTTGCTGCTGCACCTCCTTCTGATACCGATGTTGATGTTGATGTTGTTGTTGTTGTTGGTGCTGCTGCTGCTGAGGATACTGATGCTGTCATTGTTGTTGCTGTTGCTGTTGCTGTTGCTGTTGCTGTTGCTGCTGAAGGTCCGGGCTTGTCCAGCGAAGAAGCTCGGAGGAATCTTGACTTGAAATCCTGATATGACTTCGTCAACACGACAGCAAGCAGACCGAAGTGAGTGGAGGATACGAAGGGCGATGATCATGATGGAGATGATGGTGAAGAGGAGGAGCAGAAGGGAGAGACTCGACCTTCTGTCGTAGACCAAATACAAGGTTATCGAAGGATCCAGTGCGAGGCAGTGGCAAATCGCAAGGATGTAGCTGTGCGCCGACCTCTGAGCCAGAGCTGTTGCTTTCACTCTCAGCCGAGCTCGACGAGTCCTGATGCGTCTGCGCGTTCGTGAGGTAGAGGGTCTTGAAGTCTGTTTGTCTGCAACAGCCAAGTCGTAAGCAACAGGTGGTGGAGGAGTGGAGGAGGAAACGGATAATGAACGGGATCAATGGAGGAGGTAGAGGAGGTATCGAAGGACGAGGAGGGAGGGAAGGGAGGGAAGGGAGGGAGGGGAGGGAGGGAGGGAGAGGAGGGAGGGAGGGAGGGAGGGAGGGAAGGGAGGGAAGGGAGGGAGGGAGGGAGGGAGGGAGGGGAGGGGGAAGGTCGGATTACCTCTTCATCGTAGACAGAGCATCGTAAGACCCTGTACGCGGCAAGGATGACGACCTCGTGGTCTCCTCTCCGAGAGATCTCCGTTGCAGAGAGCGCGGAGCCCTGCTGCTATCCCCACTCCCCTCTTCCCCCTGCTCCTGCTCCTGCTCCCGCCCTTCATCATCATTGCTGTCATCGTCATCATCATCTCCACTGGCCGAGCTAGCTGATCGGACCCAAGCATCGATGTACTGCGACTTGTAGTCAAGCTGCCGCTCCCCTGACGCCAAGTTGTTCCATGATCCCGTCCTCGGCAGGGACCGCGTACGGGTGATGGACTCGTTGGATTTCACCTTCACGAGGGTGTGGAGGGAGGACGACTTGGGAGGGGGAGCCTCGTTCTTGAAGACTGCCCGGAACGCGAGCTCTCTCGCAAACATGTTCTTGACTTCTGTGTGCTGCTTCTCAGGACATGCAGTTCTGTCTGTGACCGATGTTGTCACACACGAAGAGTCATGCAGGCCCACACTCTGCATCATCTTGTCTTGGACTTCTTGGGAGCAGCAGGCTTGCGAGCCTGATAGCGTCTGCCCACAAGAGACCATGAACAAAGTCTCGTTCGGAGGTGCTTCGCCGCTCTGATCGAGACAAGCAGACGTGATCTCTTCGTTGTCACCCCTGAGAACAAGGTGCAGGGCGTCTTTGGGCAGCAAGTCAACCGCCTCCCTGCTAGTGTTCGCGTTGGAGATCAAGACCGTCTCCGATCCGCACATCTCATGGGGACAAGGTCTCGGTGGCGAGCGATGACAGACAGGTCCACTTCTCTAGTGTCAACAGATCCACCTACAGTAGAGACGGTCAGCGAAGGCTGAGAACATGTATTCAACAGACGAACGATAGTGTTCAAGTATCGCTACGAACCACCAGAACCATCATCCCTATGCATTTCCCCTCCTCTCCAACATCACCATCAATGTATCACCTTGCCAAAAATCCATGGAAAACACAGCATGCATACCCTGACAGTCCTGATCAACTATCCTACCATAGTACCTTCTCTCACGAACACTTGAAGAATGTTCCATAACACCCAGTCTGCCCGCTATATCTTATTCCTTGTGCATTCTCCTCCATGACTAGTTGTCAGAGATTCTGTTCTACTTCCTTCCGCCATCTGCTCCTTCGCCTCCCGTCATCTTCCCCCTCCCACATCGTAGAGCCCTCTTGACCGCAGCATCGTCCGCGTCTTGTACCTTTCGGCTGGCCTGTACCATGGGGGTGGTCCACATGAGGGTGGTACGATAAAAGGGTAGGGGGTAGTTAAATGAAGAGACGGAATTGAAATGACTGTAGGGGTACTGGAAGATTGGACTGAGGAACACGAACTAAGGGGGTAGAGGTAAACAGATTCGGTTGTGTCCGTGCCTTGGGGTGGTCAAAATGATGGATTTTACCCAGGGAAAGAGTAGGAAGATAAGGGGTAGTACTTGTACCAGTACGGGTTACACCTTCACATCCATGGTGGGTGAACCCACCGGTCATACTCTTTTCATAATGAAATGGAAAAGGGGGGGTGAGGTGGTTGAATGTGTGTTACAGCTATGGTGGGGTATGCGTCCATTCTATCCGAGGGTGGGGTGCCTTTATTATGTAGTAAAGGCCACCAACAACTATAATACTTTACATAGTTTTAGCCATGGATTGAAAATTGGGGGTGTGGACTTTTAGATCTCCAAAGTCATTTAGGGGTGGGGGTACTTCATGTGTACGAGGATCAACTGAAAAAAGAGTCTCTGTGGTACTTTGGTGGGGTAGGGTACCCTAGAAGCTTTTACACGTTTTAAGGTGATGCCCTTCTATAAAACTTAATAGGCCGAGGGTGGGTGCGAGGGGCTGGAGAGATGGAGGGTGGGGTGGAGTGAGTAGGTGGGGAAGCACCTTGTCACAGAAATCCAACCAAGTGTTGCTGGATTCTATGAGGGGTGGTCTCGATAAATGTGGGGGTAGTGGTGTAGGACAAAGTACGGAAAAATGGGGGTGGTGAAATAAACAAATTTACTTAGAAGAGTGGGTCCGGTGGGGTAGTAAACTGAAAGGCTGCATCAGGGGAAGGGGCGTATCTGAACAACACAAGGAGGCGATGTAGTGACCCCTCCATTCCTCTACACAATGAGGGGTGGTCACATTGGACGCCCAACAGGGGTTATGAGTTAACAACCTGTGGTGGGGTGAATGGGGTCTGTTTTATGGGGTTTGTGGGTGGGGTGGTTGAAGTGACCGGTAACGTGACTATCCGATGTTGACGGGGGTCATTTAAAACCATATAGGGACGATTTAGAGATATAAATGGACGAAAGGATCCGAGTTTAAAACCATTTGTTCTGAAATCAGACCAAACGCTGAAATGAAGTCTAAATATAGATCGCAGTTACCGTTTATAAACTTACACCAGGGTGTCGTAAAATGAGCTTTTAAAAGTTTTTTTAAATAGTTTTTGAAGCTTGCCTCAGAGACTTTCACAGAGACTCTTGAAGACAGCACCGAACATATGCACAAACTTTTGTCAACTAGGAGTTGGTTGAGGGGGGCTCGAACCAGTACCCGGTATCACTATTAAGTAAAATAACAAGACCCTCAGATGTGGCTACTGGAGCTGACCGCGGTACCGAGTCCCCGATGCTCAGTGCTTGCGATGGCGGCAAGGCCATGGCAAGTGCCGCCATCCTCCTGCGTAGGATGCAGCAGCCGTTGAGCAGCGGCAGCAGGAGGCTGAAGTGACTCTGGCAATCATGTGTAGCAAAGGTTAAATGTGTCCTGCCGCAATGCAGAAGATCTGATCATGATCTGACACCGAAGCTCCTGTGAGGCTTGCTATCGCACGCTACAGGATTGTATCGATCACAACTTGGTCGCTTCTGAAGGTAGGAGAGGACGCAGAGGATGAAACTCCTGGTTAGGCAGAAGGAGGACAAGCTCTGGAAGACCAAGGACCTGCATGCTAGCAGCAGCATCCCCCTGGAGTTTGGGGCTCGAACAAGCACGGTGGAGATCGGGTCGTTCGACGGCGTCCCCTTCGTCAAGGTGCGGGAGGAGGGGGTGATATGTGCTAGTCCCGTTGAGGGAGGAGGGGGTGATATGTGCTAGTCCCGTTGAGGGAGGAGGGGGTGATATGTGCTAGTCCCGTTGAGGGAGGAGGGGGTCATGAGGAAAAAGTACCGTTGAGGGAACAGGGGGTGGTGCACGCTGGTCCTGCTTAGGGAGGAGGGGATGGGGTGTTTTCCCCTCTGACCTTGGCCGTCAGGCAACGGAGAACAAGGAGATTGAGGAGGCGCCCACAGCTCACTGCAGCTTCTCCATCCCTCCAGGGTCGGTGGTGAGGGTACAGATGAGGCTCGAGGTGGCGAGGGGAGCAGTGAATCTCGGGATCGTGCGGGGCGACGGGGAGCTCGGGCGGCCCTTCCGAAAGCCGGAGATGAAGGACCTGGTCTGGTACTACTGCAATGAAGGCGCCCTGCGTGAGTCATTAATGCTCCTGCTGCTCCTGCTGCTCCTGCTCCTGCTGCTCCTTCTTCTTCCCCTGCTGCTCCTGCTCCTGCTCCTGCTCCTGCTCCTGCTCCTGCTCCTGCTCCTGCTCCTGCTCCTGCTCGTCCTACTGTCCTGCCTCCTCCTCCTTGCAGAAGCAGCTGACAAAGTATGGGCAGGCAACGGCGCGAGGTCGATAGGGAAGCAAGCTCCTCCAGCGGGGCAGGGGGACACCATATCCATGACGATCAGCGAGACCATTCTCTCCCTCCACCTCAACGGGGTTCCTCTACAGCAGGTGATCCCCGACGTCGTGGGCCCGAACCTCTACTTCGCCGTCCAGCTCAGCAGGAAGGGGGACTGCGTCTCGCTGGTGAAACAGGAGGTGAGAAAGGGAGCGGGGTTGTGACGGGCCCTTGGGCTGAAGGTATCGTCCTCTTGACCCTTGCTCCGCCTCAGTTCGATGAGGACACACTCTTCGCCATGCTCAAGAGCACCTGGTCCTCCTTCTCCCTCGTCGGCTCCGGGAAATTCGCGCAGCATCCGTTCGTTCAGCTGCTGGACCATCGCAGGGTTGCGAAGTGCGTCCATGCGGCACCAGATTACTTCGGGCAAGTCGTTCCCGAGGTTCTTTCCTCTGATTCCGTCACCTGTTATCCTCCTCTTCCTCGTCGTCCTCGTCCTCGTCCTCGTCCTCGTCCTCGTCCTCGTCGTCCTCTTTTGTCCTGCTTCCCCGCTCTTCCCGCTCCCTTATCTCTCCATTTCATGGTGTCTCTATACTGACCCCTCAAGACCTGCTTCTGCCCTCCGCACTTAATCGAGGCTTCATCCTCTAGGTTCAGTGCGCTGCTGTGATTGAAGTGAAACGAGCGGCGAGCTGGAAGGTTCAGCTTCTGCAGCTCTCCGGCATGATCTACATCGGATTGGAGGTGTTGGGCAGGAGGGAAGACGGAGGGCGCGACTGCTGACTGCCGCCTCCTAGGACGTCGACTGGCCGCTTGGGAAGGAGTGGTGGAGCAGTGAGGGGATGGACAGAGTTTGGTACTATGGCAGCGACGGTTCTGTGAGAAACGGCAACCAGGTGCTCGTCAAACACGAGGAGCGAGGAAGAGAGAGGGTCGTCCCAGCTCTCAAGGAAGGAGACGTGCTGCAGGTCCTCCTGGAGGAGGGGAGGATCGTGTTCAAGCACAACGGCAACCAGGTCAGTGAAAGAGGGCAGGAGCCTGAGTTGCCGTCTGGATTTATTGCGATGGCACAGGTTGACTTTGTTGTCTCCGGGGTGAGCATGAGCGTCAGGCTGGCCGTCCAGTTTGAGGAGAAGAATGATTCCATTGCGCTGGTGGAGTGAGGGCAGCGAGTCGCCCTTGACCTCTCGCCATGTCTGCTGCTGCTTGTTCAGCATACACCCATCAGCAGCAGGGGCAGGAGCAGGGGCAGGGGCAGGAGCGGCAACATCCCTCATTACGATCGAACGATGTGCCGTATCAACATGTTTCAATCAAGTCTCATCTCTACCTTGCCCTCTGCTCTGCGACCTTGTCAACAAGTTCGCATGCTACTGCAGTTAATCGCAAGTCCGCATGCTGCTGAAGTTAATCGATGACGGAGTTCTTCCTCCTCCGGAAAGTCGCGTTAGGGATGACTCTCTTTGTCTCTTTGAGGGGCTTCTTCGCCTCCCTCTGCCTCTGCGGCTGCTGCGGCTGAATCTCCTCCTTCTCCTTCTCCTTCTCCTTCGCTTCAACTTTGATGAAGGTCTCTCCTGCCCCCTGCAGTCTCTGTAAGTCGAGCACAGGCAAGTCATAGCAGGCGTACCCTCGTGTACGAGCGTTCTGAGTCCACCAACAGCAAATCCTTCCTACAAAGGAACTGAACAATCTGGTCCTGCGGATCGTCGTCATCGTCGTCGTCGTCGAGCTTGAGCGAGCACTCGATGATCGTTCCGTGGACATTAGCGTTGAGCAGGCACGGGATGGTGACGGACTTGGCCTCTGCTTGACTCTCCAGCAACGCGACCGCGTCCTCCACTGCTCTCTCGAGGTATCTGATGACTATCCCCTTGCTGCAGCTGCTCGAGATCGACACCCGGTGATCAGAGTCGATGTGGCACAGGATGACACAGTCCTCGCTGGAGACGATGCTAGCAGGAGGCAGGCAGGACCCCACCACGACGCGGCTGTGCGAGCAGTTCTCGATGTAGAGCTTGGAGCACGCCTCCACCATGACGAAGACGCTGTCGCAGTCTCGCAGGACGAGTGTGCCCACGGGGCTGGCGCAGCGGAAGTTGGACGTGCGGTTCCTTGAGATCTCGAGCATCGCATGGTCCCCCGATTTCCTCGTCGGGACGGACACGTTGGAGTCCACGTACCCGTGTATCCTCGTCCTCTCCTCCTCCACGATGCTCCGAGGCGCCTCCTTGGCGAAGGTCATGTGCGCGTTCTCTTCTGTCGATAGCAGCCTGTCCCTCCTGTACACGTATTTCTTCTTCATGAGGTGCAGCATGTTGTTCTCCTTCTTGAGCTCCTGCAGCTCTTGCAGCGCGTTCTGGTACGCCATGGTCTGGCTTGCCACCGACTCCCTGCTCCTCGTCCTCTTGAACTCGACATCGGGAGAGCCATACCTCCTCCTCCTCTCTGACGCGTTCGACTCGACCCGAGAGAAGCCCACGGACCCAACACGGGTGAAGGTGTCCTCCACGAACTCCTTGTTCAATGGAGGCTCGGGTGGCAGCTCTTGCGACTCCGGCAACCGCACCTCCTCGTTGCTCTTCGCCTCCCAGAAGTTGAGGTTGAGCCCTTCAAGGTTGAGGGACTTGAAGATGTCCAACGACATGGCTAATGGATCGCACTACAGCTCCTCGGGCACCTGCAATGGTAGGTCAGAAGCGCGTCAAGCCCGTGAACGGGGGGTTGTCTCCAATGGTTCTACCATCGTGCTTCATCGGGTTCCATACGAATCGCTTCCTTGAACCATCTTGCTTCATTTAGCTTGTCCTCCCCTTCTCGCTTGGTTCTCTTCCTCTGTCCACACGTTGACCCTGACGAGTCTTGTCTCGCACACGGCACTTCTATCATTCTCTTCAACTTCTCAACCCTCATCATCTCTGATATCTCTCCTTCCTATCTTCACTTCGTCTTTCCTCTCCCTCCCCCTCCTCCCGATTCTGATCGTTCCTAATCCTCCATGTTGAATTGGCCGGTCTTTCGCTGGGAAGGTCGATACATACCGGTACCAAATAGCTCAAGATAGTGAGATAGAGGTGGGTAGTATTCAGTACCGGTACTATTTACAGTCAATATCAGGGTACTTAGGGTACTGATCACCTTGACCGGTACTATTCTCCGAGAAAACGTAGGTGCAATACCCAGCTGGTGTAGTACCGGTGAATTTCAGCGTTCTAAGGTGGGTGGTGTGTAATTGGATTAGCTCCAATAATTAACCACTAAAAGTATTTTATCCCCCGCATTTGATACCCTCCACACCACTACCCACCCTACCACATGACTACCCCAGTTTAATGCTCATTTTGTACCCGAATGATGGGAACCAAGATGGGTACCCTACCCACCTCTGACCCCACTTTGAGCTGTGCAAAAAGCCGCTGATGGTAGAAAGACAAAGACGGGACGAAGAGGAGGAGGAAGAGGAAGAGGAAGAGAGAAGGAGGGAGGGAGGAGGGAAGATGAAGTGATTGAAGGATGGAAAGACAGCCAGACAGGGATGGAGATGGGAAGGGAGAGAGGGAGAGAGGGAGAGAGTCAGCGAGGGAAAGAAGGAAAGAAGGGAGAAGAGGGAGAAGAGGGAGAAGAGGGATTGAAGGGTAGACGGATTAGAGGGATAGAGGTTGTGATGCAAGGGGAGAGCGGAGAGGCATGAAGAGAGAAGGAGAGAAGGAGAGAGGGAAGAGGAGTGGTGGGCGAAGAGAGGACGAGAAGGACTATAAGTTCGACGGGAAGGATGCAGTCAGGATGGGACGGGTTTGAAGAGCGGAGCAGAAAGGAAAGAGCAAGCTATAACACGGGGGGGTTGATGCTGGGGAGGTTGAATGCTAGGGGTCTTGGACGGAACGGATGGGACAGCTGATCATTGAGGAAACTGACTAGTTGAGGCATCTGAAGCACCCACTACATGTTAAAGAAATGCATTGTGGAGCATGGTCAGAAAGATCCGAGGGGCTCGAAACGAACTAGGAATGAGCAGACAAGTGAGAAGGGGATGAGCTGAATGAAGGAGAGAGAAGATAGAGTATGGCCTCACAATCGAGCACCTCAAATGCCGCCGTTGTAGCGCTCGCATGTTTCATTCCTTGATTGAGTTTACAGGACGACAAAGAGAGCAGACAACAGGCGAAAGTCGGCTAGAGGGAGAAGAGACAAGAGCAGAGCTTGAAACTACACGCCATGTCAAGTGTTGCTGGTACAGACCCGCATCGATCAACCTCAGGTTCCTCGAATCTTGCTGTCTCCGGCCATGGCCCTGAGAGCTGTCCCAGGGGAAGTGACGGACGGAGGACATGACGTCTCCTCCACTCGCCATGAGTGCAACGGCGTCGCGTCCTGTTACAGCTACGTTGTGAGCACAGAGACGCGTCCTCTTGCTCGCGGACCCCTGACGTCTCCTGGCAGTCGAGGGCTTGCAGGGGGGTGGTCGACCTGATCTGCTCCTCGCCCCGCAAGGTCGTGAATGTGGATGCGCGAGAATGTATCTGCAGGTGGAGGATGACGATGCTGTGCAAGCTCAGTGCTAACATCTCCTTCTTCCTTTCCCTCCGCTCTTTTCTCCTGCAATTCCTTCTTGCCCTTCCTGTCCTCTCTTTCTGCCCCCCTCTTTTCCCATCTTTCTTACTCTCTCCTCCTCCTCTCTCCTCATCTCGCTTTTCCCTCATCTCGCTGTTTCCTACTCCTCCTTCTCCTTCTCCTCCTCCTCCTGTCTCCTCATCTTCGTCCTCCTCCATCTACTCTTCCCTCTCTTCCTCATGCAGTCTGGTGGACGTCACGAGAAGGCAAGGCAGGACGGCTGCTGGCGCCGGGCTGGTGGGGCTGGCGGTGGGCTCGTTTTGCTGCGCAGCAGCTGCAACCAAGTGCTCTCTGCTGCTCTGCTCCCGCATGTCCTGAAGATGATGCAGAATGCGGGTAGAGCCTGTCTGGCTTCCCATCCTCTTCCGCGTCTTCCTTGCCATGCTAGCTGTGGGAGGGTTTGTGCGGCTGTTCGCCAGGTCGGCTACAGGAGGGAGGGGAAACAGAAGGGGAGGGAGGGAGGGAGGGAGGGAGGGAGGGAGGAGGAGGAGGTGGTGGTGGTGGCGACGGAGGAGGACGAGGACGAGGACTGGGATAACAGTGAGGATCGTGCTGATGTTGCTGATGTTTGTGAGCAGGAGGTATGTCTCGCCGACCCGCTGGCATCGTATGAGGATCTTCCTCGCGTACTTCGTGGTGGGTTTGGAGGGCCGACAGCTGGGCTGCTGCTGGGCTGAGACTCCTTGCAGGCCCTGACCATGTCGTCTGTTGCTGCCACCATTGCGACTGTGATCGCCGTGATCACTGCCATAAGAATGTCTCTTCTCACCTCCTACTCTTATTCTTCTCGTCCACTTCTCCTCCTCCTCCTCCTCCTCCTCCTCCTCCCCTACCTCCCTCCCTCCCTCCTCCTCCTCCTCCTCCTCCTCCTCCTCCTCCTCCTCCTCCTCCTCCTCCTCCTCCCCTTCCTACTCCCTTGCCTCCCCTTCCTCCTCCTCTTCGTCCTCCTAGTCCTCTCTTCCCCTTTCTCAAACTCTTCCCAGCCCTTGCTCTCGTTGCATCCTTCCCTCCCCCCCCCTTCTTCCTCTCTCTCTCCTTCCTCTCCCCATCACATCTTGCCTTCTCACGTTCCTCTGCCTTCAGGTACCTCAAGGCTGCTGTTGACTACGGTGTGGGCAGCGAGCAGAGGAGATGGTGAGTCTTTCCCTTCCTCCTCCTCTCTTTGCCATCAGCTGAACCGTGATACTCCTCTTGCTCCTTGACGACCTCGTCCTCCCTCCCTCCCTCCCTCCCTCCCTTTCTCGCTCCCTCGCTCCCTCTCTCATCTTCCTTCGTTCCTCTCTCCTTTCTCTCCTTCCCTCTTCCTTGCCCCCAGCCTTAATCTTGCTTCTGCTCCTCCTCTGTCCCGCTCACTGTCACTGTAGGTTCTCGACAATCATCGGACTCTCCGTTGACGTCCTCGAGCTCGGTGCTCTTATGCTTCAGATGATCCTCATGACCCAGGTCTCCTCTCCTCTCCTCTCTCCTCTCCTCTGGTCTCCGAGCGTTTCTTTGACCTCTGCAACGGAAACCTCAAGAAGCAGGAGGAGGAGGAGTGAAGGCTACCGCTTGGCGAGAGCTGGGGCTGATCGACAGGGAGGTCAAAGGGATCGTTGACAACGACGAGGGAGTCGCGCATTTTCTCCATGCTCATGCTTGACTTGCACAAGCGGACGATGACAACCAGGCAGGTCACGAACACAACAAAGGCACAGCACACGATGATGACTACCATCTCCCACAGCTTCATCGGCAGACTGCTCGAGCTGCCCGGCCGCGATTGGGTCACCGGGATGCTGCAGTAGCGCAACGAGGTCGCGCTCGTCGCGTCGCTCTGCCATCCCTTGTCGCACACGCAGGGATTGCCGAGGAGCG